GTCTTGGTTCTTTGTGTATTTTCGGGAGTAGGTGAAACAGTCTAGGTCATGGGGTGTCTGGTACAAAGAGAATGTTCAGTTGTTTAGCAGTGATATGTTTTTCATAGAGGGTTTGAATGATTTGCCTTAATTGTATTTGTGTCTGTAGTTGTATACGGTTGTCTATTGGTTGATAGTGTTTAGTGTTGGATAATTGTCTGTTTGCTTCGTATGTGTATTGGTGTTTATCTATTATAACTATTTTTGATCCTTTGTCTGCTGGTTTCGGTATATTTTGTGGGTTGTTTTTAAGTTGTTTTATGGCCTCTCTTTCTATGTGGGTGAGATTGTCTTTTGTGTCTGTCTGATGTTTGACAAACCAGGTGTAGTTCTGCCCTCTGCTGGGGGATCTGAGGTAGTGGCTGTGGCAGCAACAGTGAGGGAAGAGGGAAAGAGTTGTGAAAATATTCTGTTGGTGTGGCTATGATTGTCCAAGCTGTGGATGGAAGTCAATGTAAATGTAATGCTGGCACCAGTTATTGAATATCAGTCTTACTGTGGTTGTTGTCCAGTGTATCAGATCTGGAGACGTATGGAATTGGAGGGTTGGGAATTGTGTGGTGATGTATCCATTCATGATTTTCAGGTTGCGTTTCTGCACTGGGGTGAGGAACTGTGAGAAGTTAAGGATAGGGATATAAATAATAGCATTTGGAAAAGTGTTTTTTGCTTCTTTATACATGGCTGCCAGCTGTTTGAGGGAGGTCTGGTAGGGATCATGGTCCTTGTTGGTTATGCCCACTGAGAGAACAACCTGGCAGGTGTCTTTTTCAGAACCTTGGGAAAATGATAAAAATTTGCACCTGGGTAGCTGTCGATTTGTATGTTTGGGTTATTGAATGGGGGTATTCTGTTGAGGTTGGAATCTCCTAGTATCAGTGTGGCTGCTGTGCCTATGAAGTTCCAGTCTGCCACTGAGATGGCATGGTCCAAGTCCTATAGACGGGAGGAGGTTCTATTGAAGCGAATTAATTGTGATTTCCCTATACCTTTTGAAAGTGTGTTTTGGATGGTAGCTGTGTTTATGGAGTAGAGCATGTGTTTCTGTAGGTTTAAAGTATACTTTGGTGAGTAATGTTTTCTGTTTTGCATTGTTTTGGTTGAAGAAGGCTGTTGTATCCAAGAAATGTACTTCCATTGGATCTATTGTGTATTTAACTTGAATTGATGCATGGTGATTATTGAGAATATTAATGAAATCTGTGAAACGTGTGATGTCATGGGGCCAAGCTCCTATGATGTCGTGTAAAATAGAAGGTGGGTTGGAACGGGCACTTTGCCAGTACCTCTCTCTCCCATTCAGCCATGTAAATGTTCGCATATGCAGGTGTACATTTCTTACCCATAGCTGTTCCATCCACCTGTAAGTAGTGCCTACCATTAAACATGACTTCATTGCTTGTCAGGCTGATCTCTAATAGTTCTAATATGTCGTTGTCCGGTCTATCCCTATCTGGAAACCTATTGAAAAGTGTTCTAACTGCCTCTATCCCTACTACTGTGTTGATATTGGTGTATAAGCTATCTATATCAATGGTGAATATATATATATATATATATATATATATATATATATACACACACACACAGAGTATCTCACAAAAGTGAGTACACCCCTCACATTTTTGTAAATATTTGAGTATATCTTTTCATGTGACATCACTGAAGAAATGACACTTTGCTACAATGTAAAGTAGTGAGTGTACAGCTTGTATAACAGTGTACATTTGCTGTCCCCTCAAAATAACACAACACACAGCCGTTCATGTCTAAATCGCTGGCAACAAAAGTGAGTACACCCCTAAGTGAAAATGTCCAAATTGGGCCCAAAGTGTCAATATTTTGTGTGGCCACCATCATTTTCCAGCACTACCTTAACCCTCTTGGGCATGGAGTTCACCAGAGCTTCACAGGTTGCCACTGGAGTCCTCTTCCACTCCTCCAAGACGACATCACAGAGCTGGTGGATGTTAGAGACCTTGCACTTCTTCACCTTCCATTTGAGGATGCCCCACAGATATTTAATAGGGTTTAGGTCTGGAGACATGCTTGGCCAGTCCATCACCTTTACCCTCAGCTTCTTTAGCAAGGCAGTGGTCGTCTTGGAGGTGTGTTTGGGGTCGTTATCATGTTGGAATATAGTTATATTTGAGAATTGATTTCATTTCAAATAACTGAAAGTGAGAGGTTGTAATCTGAATAAAGGGGGAAAATGCCATTTACTGAACGTGGTGAGACAGTCTTACACATTTCTAGAGAACCAGTTCGGATTTAAGTATAACTTTTATATGACTGAAGCTTTTAGTGGTGGGTCCAACGCTTAAAATATTTAATCATTTCTGTACTCCCTATTGATATTAATTTTATTAATAGGTCCGTTTAATTCTGTCTGGCTTGCTGTTCCAAATAAAATGGAATATTTATTTTTCATATAAATTAAAAAACTGTTCGCTGGGTGTAGGCAAGACCATAAACAAATAGGTAAACTGGGATAATACTATAGAGTTAATCAGTGTGATTTTTTCACAAATAGACAGGTATTTTTACCTTTCGTGGTAGCAAGATATTATCATTTTTTGCTAACTTTCTATTAACATTTAATAGAGTGAGATCATTTTATTTATTTTGGGATATGTATCCACATCACCAACAGACAATTTTATTGGTAAACTACAAGGTAATGTAAAAGTTGTATTGTCAGTGATCCAATTTACAGTTTAGTCATTTAGCAGACACTCTTATCCAGAGCGACTTCCAATTAGTGAGTGCATAAATCTCCGGCCGCGACTGGGAGACTCATGGGCGGCGCACAATTGGCCCAGCGTCGTCCAGGGTAGGGGAGGGAATGTCCGGCAGGGATGTAGCTCAGTTGATAGAGCATGGCGTTTGCAATGCCAGGGTTGTGGGTTTGATTCCCACGGGGGGCAAGTATGAAAAAAAAAAATATATAATATATGTATTCACTAACTGTAAGTCGCTCTGCTTTAGGCTAATACTAGCCTATTAAGATGACTCGTAATGCCAACCGCTGAACTATGGTTTTCACTAATTACTTGTCCCAGGTGACCATTATGAATCTAATAGCAAAATTGCTCTTTGAATGTAACATGCTACAGTCTGTCAATTACACTGTGGAAATCACATTTCCATCATTCTTATCCCCTGTGTCATCATTGAAGACGTGTCACAATCATTGACAGAAAAAGTCCATGTATTCATCAGATAATTACAACATAGATGTCCTGTAATCAAACGACACAAATGGAATGAATGAAACAAACCGAACGTTTAGCAGGCACAAGTTTGCATCAAGCCTGTCTTGAGCATTTTGCTATAGGTGTGGATTTGATGTCATTGCATGCCTCATCCGTGGCCTGGAGGAGGGTGGCACGCTCATGGGGATGGCAATCACACACACCTTCCACCTGTATTGCATTTCACAGTATTGTGTGGCTCAGGTATCCAGCGCATGTCAGTAGCAACACAATAGTTGTGGGTTGGATCCCCACTGGGGTCACATGCTAACAGGTATGGAATCACTGTTGTCACTTGGGATAAAAGCATCTTGGAGAAAAATGTGCCCTTAATGGCCACGTACTGTTATAATCTCCACCCGGCACAGGCAGAAGGGCACTGGCCACCCCTCAGAGCCTGGTTGTTCTCTAGGTTTGTGCCTTTCTAGGGAGTTTTTCCTAGCCACCGCGCTTCTTCATCTGCATCACTTGCTGTGTGGGGTTTTAGGCTGGGTTTCTGTATAGCACTTTGTGACATCTGTTGATGTAAAAAGGGCTTTATAAATCCACTTTATTGATTGATTGATTGATTGGAGAATTGTCAAAATACCAGTGGTAAAAGGTGTGTACCTTGATGAAACCTCAAAATGGTACGACGGATTCAAAAATCTGAATTTCAAACCGTAACTGTATGGGAACAAAATAGACATTACATTTTACAATGACATCCTTCATTAAAAACACCTATTTTGTATCTTTTGTATACAAAAACACAATGGAAAATACAGTGGCAGTGACCCTTTAAAACACACCTTGCAGAATAAACGTAACTTATTTTGCCTAGATGACGGGGACGGGGTCCCAGACCACAATGTGCTCGAGCCCCGCCTCTCGGTGACCATCCCCCGGTAGGCGGAGGTTGGTCCCAGCACAGATTCTCTGTCCCAGGCGGCTTCACCAACAACAAGCGGGCCTGTGGTAGAGGACACCGTTCCTGACCTGCTACCAGAAAAAATGAAGGGAAAGAAGAGTTCCAAAGGCACCTCAGCGTTTAACTACGAAGGTGTTACAAAGTAACCCTGACATTCAGTCTATGACAATTGTCCTCTGGCCTGTCATCCTGCTTAAGACAGTCATTTGTTCTTGAGGGCTGTCATCTTGACTGTGAGCTTTGAGCAGTCTAGCTCCACAAACACTTTCTGGAATGCCCTGAACGTGTACTTCAGCTTTTAGGGGTGGCTGAGATTCAGAGCATATGTCATGCCAAGAGGAATTGCAGAAGCCTTTTCAAAACTCAGACCGGTGATCACTTAAGTGAGGAATTATTGTTCAGCTCTACTGGAAGTGGCCTCATTAAAGACTACCATGTGGGGGCAATAAAGCATTTTCAGTCATGAATATTCGATCGTGTGTGTGTGTGTGTGTGTGTGTGTGTGTGTGTGTGTGTGTGTGTGTGTGTGTGTGTGTGTGTGTGTGTGTGTGTGTGTGTGTGTGTGTGTGTGTGTGTGTGTGTGTGTGTGTGTGTGTGTGTGTGTGTGTGTGTGAGGGAGGGAGAGAAAGTTCACTGCAATCTGATAACAAATAAGGGCATGTCGTAATCCAGGTTGAATAAAATGTGTTCCCCACATTGACAGAATGTCTGTATTTGTGTGTTATTTATTTTACAGGAAGCTGAGGGTGGTCATTTCCTGCAAGACCTTGCGCAACATGTAAAGGAAATCTATGCGATCAACAAGGAGGGTGCCGTTTCAGAGCGTAGACCACGTCCATGGCGGTAACGGTCTTCCTCTTGGTGTGCTCGGTGTATGTGACTGCGTCACGGATCACGTTCTCCAGGAACACCTTCAGGACATCGCGGGTCTCCTCGTAGATCAGACCGGAAATACGCTTTACGCCGCCACGGCGAGCCAGACGGCAGATCGAGCGCGCTTGGTGATTCCCTGGATGTTATTGCGGAGAACTTTGCGGTGCCGCTTGGCGCCTCCTTTTCCGAGTCCCTTGCCGCCTTTGTCTCTTCCAGACATGGTGTGTTCGCTAGTTGAGTTCAAGTGAATGAATGACTTCAGCGCCGGTGCGTGGTGCGCTATTATCTGCGTTTGGTCGACCTGATTGAGGCCAGCGGCACAGAAAGCGCGCCTCTGTTATATGTTTGGAGGCGTTGCAAAGGGGAGGGCGCTCGTTCTAGGGGACTAGGGAGGAGCGATAGGGGTTCTCCAAAGATGACGTGAAAGCAACTAACGTGCGCGGGAAACATTCTCAAATACTGATATAGGCTATGTGGAACACAAGGCCAAACTGTGACAACTGGGAGATCAGCTAGTACACTGTGTCCCTGTCCTCATATTGTTGTTGTTGTCGTTGTTGTTGCACCTGATTCTACTCATTGAGGACTTGGTAATTAGGTGACAGGTTGTTCAGTCAGCTGTGGCTGTCCAGGCCTACAAGAAAAATGGGTCCTGTTGGGGGTAGGCTACTTCTACCGCTGGAGTTGGGAAACACTGAACTAGTATGATTCGCCCTGTTGCGGTTGCCCCTCACACGTACAAACCCCCTAATAGAGATAGGCGAGAAGAACTTGAATAGAGGTCCCAAGTAGAAAGGAAGGTGACTTCCGCACACAAAAAAACAACAACTAGCACACTACACCGGATTCTTCATGCTTCTGTACACGGGACATAGTGAAATCAAAACGGGGAAGATATAGGCTACAGAGAAACAAATACACATGCGATGCCATAAAGGCAAAGAGGCACATAATGTCACGTCGTCCGTCATTCATCGCAGATGAGTCTATTTAGCTATGGAAGGACGTGTCGTATTGACTGTCATTAATAACATAATTCTTCTTCTTTCTTCCCTAGACAGCACTCGGCCTGACTGTAAGGGGGCCAAGAGGACCTGGGGTGCGGATGGGAGGGGTGGTGATCCCTCTGCAAGCTGAAGCATTTAGAAAATAGTTGTCATCATCCTTATGCCTAATGTGTGTTGCAGCCAAACAGCACACACTGTTTGTGTGACTCCCTGACATTACGCAATGATGTAAGCACATTTGGGAATGTCTTCTATTTTGTTGCATAAAGACGACCGTATGCATAAACGGTGAGGCCGAGAGTGGCGTACCTTTACACACACACCCACACACACCCAATGAAGGGATTGATATCCTACCCATACAGAGGTGATAGTGATGTGCCAATATTGTATGGTACCTTTCTTTGCAAACCAATAATAAAGCTTCTTACAATGGGATTATTGTTATGATGTTGATCATTTGTATTCCCGCAGGATAGCCTCAGATGTGTCGTCAAAGAACGGCCACAGAAAGAGGGCCCATCTCAATCAATGGGATAAATTGGAGGGGGGTGGGGGGGGGGGCACTGATGCCATAAGGGCCCAAGAGCACAGACTGCTACTTTATCATTCAGTGCAGTTTATCATCTCAGATGTGACTAGCTTTCATAGGACAACTTATTGTTGCCATAATTGTCTCTTACCTGTACTTACTGGCTGCCGGCCCTCGGTGGAGTATATCGAGGAACAGAGGGTGCCTTTTAGGATAAGGACTAACAAGGTTTTGACTAGGTGGGATACAGCTACGACCGGAAGTTACTTTTCCCTAGCGGGTTAGGCGAATTAGGCTAGAGTGCAGATACTTGACATGTACAGTACAACAACAAATCACAGAGGGCCTGTTACCACACCCTATACAGTGGGGGGAAAAGTATTTAGTCAGCCACCAATTGTGCAAGTTCTCCCACTTAAAAAGATGAGAGAGGCCTGTAATTTTCATCATAGGTACACGTCAACAATGACAGACAAAATGAGGAAAAAAAATCCAGAAAATCACATTGTAGGATTTTTTTCCTAATAATTGCTCCCACAGTTGATTTCTTCAAACCAAGCTGCTTACCTATTGCAGATTCAGTCTTCCCAGCCTGGTGCAGGTCTACAATTTTGTTTCTGGTGTCCTTTGACAGCTCTTTGGTCTTGGCCATAGTGGAGTTTGGAGTGTGACTGTTTGAGGTTGTGGACAGGTGTCTTTTATACTGATAACAAGTTCAAACAGGTGCCATTAATACAGGTAAGGAGTGGAGGACATAGGAGCCTCTTAAAGAAGAAGTTACAGGTCTGTGAGAGCCAGAAATCTTGCTTGTTTGTAGGTGACCAAATACTTATTTTCCACCATAATTTGCAAATAAATTCATAAAAAATCCTACAATGTGATTTTTTTTCTCATTTTGTCTGTCATAGTTGACGTGTACCTATGATGAAAATTACAGGCCTCTCTCATCTTTTTAAGTGGGAGAACTTGCACAATTGGTGGCTGACTAAATACTTTTTTCCCCCACTGTAGGTTAGAAAATAATAATATAATAATATAAATAATATACAATAATCGAAAATCAACTTCGACTACAGTGACATTGGTAGTAAGTAGGCTACAGTATAATGGATAGCTACACAACTGGGACAGAAAGTGGAAATGGAAGGGGGACACACACTGAGGAAAACTCCTAACAACATAAAAACACAGACACTTCAGTGGAACACACAGGGCAAGACGGGAAGGAAAACATGGAGAAGGACTTTTGAAGAGGAGATGAAGAACACCGGAATCATCTGGAATCAAGTGAAGAAATGGGCCCAGAACAGGGTTCGGCCGAGATGCACTGTTGACGCTCTATGCTTCCTTTAGGACCTCAAAGGAATGAGTCAACTCCTATAGGGAGTAATTTCACCGCCACCTGCTGGACCAGAAGTCATGTGGCCAACACTCTGCTTAAAATCATGAAGCGCTATAAGGAGTCCATCAACTAACTGGTCAGTCAAGTCATATAGGGTCTGCTAAATGGCATATTAGGGAGGGATTTCATGGCCACCTGCTGGAGCAGAAGTAATGTTTGCCAACACTGGCCTTAAAATCATTAGGAGCTATAAGGAATAAGTCAACTCATCATTCAAGTCATATAGGGAGGGATCTTAGCACCACCTGCTTGATCAGAAGTACCCTTCACCGTAGGCACAAGAGAGCCATCATCTCTCAACCGGTGCAATTTTCATAAGTATGTGGTCAAAAAACAAACAACAACAGCTCATCATATAGGCAGTGGTTTCAAAACTCTAAGCACATGTTCAAGTAGAGCACACCAAATCATACAGGTACTTGTTCACCACACTGAATCAGTGTTTAATCTAGAAATACATGCTTCACATTGCAATATGTGTTCTTGTAAAGTCATTGCTTTCCACAATGCAATGCTCACATCACTTTCTGTGTGATATTGTTGTTCATTTGTTCAAATGTATTTGACTATGACTTAATCCGACTGCTCTGAATTCATAATCACTTCACGGTTTGGTTTAACCTACCGATTTTTCAACTGCTTTGCCTACTGCAGATTAGGAACACTGTCATGAAAATGTATGGTTGGAAAGTCTAAAATGAGGGTAACTCCCCTTAAGGTAAATGTCTGTGTTCTGAGTGGCAAAAGAAAAACAATGTTTTATAACATTTAGATATGTGCATACTGGCTGTCCTTAGGCAAACACATTTAGAAGGGAATGAAGTGGAACCAATTAACACTTTTCTTGCTCTTCAATCAAAACAAAACCTTCACAAAGTGGTGCGTTTTGCTCCAAAATGACCCCTGAGGATTAGTGTGTTCTCATTTGTCAGTAATTGACCCTGACATACTCCCTTTAAATGGTACTATTTTACTCAAATATATACTGTAATGTACTACTATTATGATGATGACTATTATGATTTTACTTCACGGTAAGTAGAGCAAAATGCTGATATTGACAAGATCAGAGACGTAAGGTATGTCCCAAATGCATCCCCTATACCGTAAACATGGATCCAGAAGGAAGTTGCTGGGGTCTATTGGATGAGGGGTGTACTGAACTGTGCCTACAGTGTGTCAAAAGTCCCTCAAACGGGAAATATCCCTTGGCAACTGGGCAGAGGTGCTGTCCATTTCAGCACCACGGAGCTCCTCTATTACCTGTGTCATGAGTGGAGATGCAGCACAAGCGCTGTCCATACAACGGTGCTGAATACAGCAACGCATGCACCGATCCTGCCTTTTTACTTCCTGATGTCGACAATTGTTTGGGTGGAGTTTCTTGCTATGGTGGCATGCGTCTTTGACTATTATAGATAATCCCTTTAGTTCAACGTGCTATGTCATTTTGACCTGCGTAGTTTGCATTAGCCAGGTGCTTTATTCCCCCATAACTTTAGTTGGTTGATTTCGGCATTTAGCTTGCACCCTGTATTTAGGGCCTTTAATATTGACATTTTAGCTGACGCTCTTATCCAGAGCGATTTACAGGAGCAATTAGGGTTAGGTGCCTTGCTTAACTTTCACCTAGTCGCCTCTGGGATTAGAACCAGCGACCTTTCGGTTACTGGCACAACGCTCTTAACCACTAAGCTACCTGTCTTATCATTTTGTGAAGCTGTTGAGATGTCAAGGGGTTTTGATTCATGAACAATTCTTCTTTCACGTACTTGATTTATTGTCACGATCATTATAATGAGTGGACCAAGGCGCAGCGTGATATGCATACATATCTTTAATTGGTACTTTTCAACACGATACAAAATACAAAACAACAAAACAAAACGTGAAGTCCTCGGTCAAATACACACACCAACACGGAACAAGATCCCACGAAACACAAGTGCACAATAGGCTGCCTAAGTATGGTAACCAATCAGAGACAACAAGCAACAGCTGATTCACGTTGCCTCTGATTGAGAACCACCCCGGCCAACATAGAAAGCACATGAACTAGAAACTAAACATAGAACACAACACATAGACACTACACACCCTGGCTCAACATAAAATAGTCCCTAGAGCCAGGGCGTGACATTTATCTACACCATGTTGTGGGTGCCTAGTAGATGTGGTTTTAAAATAATAATAAAAAACAATATACTCGTTCAACTATTTCCTATATCTGTGCAGTAATGATGTACGTGCATGTCATTAAAACCATGAAGACTAAATCCTACTTCACAAGGCTACTTAAAATCGACGCATATTGTGCAAGTCACTACAAAGACAGAACAGTCAAGTGAATTGGCTTCATTAGCATCTAATATTTGCCACTTCCTGTCTGCTGCAAATGGGCCTGCTCTACACATGCTCATTGCCGATATGCGCTCAGGTAAGGTTATTTTTTTCAATGACTAATAAGTAAGCATGGAAAATGTAGAGCTAATAGCATTATAAATGACTCTGTGTTTACGATGCACGTAACGGTAGCTTCTTATATTACCAGCCAAACATTTGTCAGAGCTACTTATTTAGCTAGCCGTTGCGAGGTTAGCTAGCTGACGTTAACGTCTTCTGACTAGCTCGATGGGACGCGCAAAAAGCTAATGACAGTTTTTTGAATACATGTTTTGTCTGCGCATTTGTTGGGTCGTATGTGACCGATGGTTAGCGAGCTCTCGTTTGGTCACGTGTTACTAGCTAACGTAGCCTAGACTAGCTAGCTAACTTGTAGCTAGTTTTCCCATAACCTCTGACACTCTCTAGCGGTTGGAGGACTAAATCACCTCGAACTCAACATTTAAATGGACTGGAAGAGAACGGTAAGTTTTGCTACTAATGACACACTTCTAGCTAGCTGACCACCGATTTTCAGTGTAATTTGTGTAAGTGAAGTTAGGTTTTGAGCGTTTTCAAAAAAGTTACATGTACACATTTGTGGAACACGCTGCATATTGTAAAATTTGATTGCGCGACAGACCACACATAA